GATGCTGCCGACGTTTGACGCGCTGCCCCTGCTGCGGCCGGAGCTGGCAGGGCCGATAGAGGAGGTGGACATGGAGGAGGAGGGGGGCGCGGGCGGAAGCGCTGATGCTGACGCTGCTGCTGGCGCTGGCGCTGCTGGCACGGGGCGCGGCGGCGGGGCAGCAGGGGGCGGCACCGAGGGGGAGGAGGGGTGGCGGCGGGAGCAGGGGGCCGTTGCGACGTCGGGCGGCGGCGCGCGGTGGGAGGACGGGGCGCGGTTGGAAGAGGAAGCGGACGCGCGCGGCCAAGCGGCGCAGGTCAGCAGGTGGGGCAGCCTGGGTGGCGACGGCGGCGGCGGCGGCGACGGCAGCACTGCGAGCCCCCGCGGCGGGAAGCGGGCGCGGGTGGGCGGCGCGGGCAGCGGTGGCGGGGACGGCCAGGGGGTCGACGCTGCTGAGAAGCAGCGGGATGCGGCGCTGCTGGCCAGCATCGGGGCCGCCCTGAGGCAGCTGGACGACGGGGACGACGGCGGCGGCCGGCCTGATGCTGGCGGCGGGACCGGCGGCCCGCGCCTGCTGCGCTCGGGCGGCACTGGGCGGCGCGGGGGCCTCAAGTCGTCGGGGGGCGGCGGCGCTGGCGGCAGCAGCGTCCCAAAGCGCGTGAGATGGCCTGACCAGGAGGAGGCAGCGGCGGCAGAGGAGGATGAGGGCTTCAGGATGTGGGGCGGCGCAGCACGACAGGTGAGGCCCCGCCCGCAACGCCGACGGGGCGGCGCTCCTTATTGCCTATCTGCACTTGTGGTGTCGGCGTTGCCCGGCGCTTTTGCTGTGCCCGAGCTGCGGGCTTGGCGTGGCCTGTGCATGTTCACCTGTTTGTGCCTCCCCTCTACAGACCGCGTGCTGGCCCCTGGCGCCCTTCACCATATCTTCCCCCACCCCTTTACCCCCTTTTCCTGTGCTCTCAAGCTGGAGGAGGTGTTCCTGGTGGAGGGGCTGGGGCCAGCGCCCATGGCCCTGGACGACCGCGGCGGCGGCGCCAACGCCGGCACGGCCGGCGCGGGCCCAGGGGCGGGACCACGGCCAGGCCGGCCCGCGAGGCGGTCGTTTGCCGAGGCTGCGCGCGCGGAGCATGCTACTGAGCACGACGCGTTCAGGTCGCTGCTGCTGGGGGGCTTGGGCAAGCCACGGGCGCCGCCGCCAGGGCGGTAGGCTTGGTGCGTGCTGCTGGAGGAAGCCACCTCTTTTGTCGGCCAGCAGCCCTTTGGCTGAGGCGCTGGCGCAGTGGCTGCTCACAACCGAGACAAGAGGGAGAGAGAGAGAATGCCAGGGAGGGGAGGGAGGGATGGCCCAAGCGCTTGCTTGCTCTGGCACTGTGTGAGCGGCGTAGATGCGTGAGTGCGCAATTGGGATGAGCTTGGTAGAAGGGAGAGGCGCACCGTGGTGCTGCAGCATCTGCCGAAGAGCAGCGGTAAGGGCGCGCGCAACCGCGCATGCGCTGCCGCCGCGGCAGCCCGCTGTCCCTCCTCCTCCCGTCGGCGAGCCCTGTGGCGCCCTGCTGTGAGGGAGGGTGTGGGTTTGGTGCCCACACTCGAGGTGAGTCCCTGGCCCGTATGACTACGTATGCATGCGTCCTGGTGCCCCCGCTTGCATGATGACCCGGAATGTCCTGTTCTGCACGCGCGCGCTGGCCTCAACCGCATCCTGACATCGCTCGCTTGGGCGGCGCGCCTGCGGCCTGCTTGGGCCTGCGCCCCGCCTTGCTCCGTCCGCAGGGCCCCGGCTGCATCGTGCGCGCCAACCCAACGGTCGGCAATCGCCAACCCCTCGCCAAAAGCACATCGGGTCTACATATGCCCACAATTGGTTTCTGCTTATCCAGCCGTATCCAGCGCTTGCTTTCTGCGTGCCGGCAAGCGTGGTAGGATGTCCTCACCCCCTTCAGGGGCTGTTTTGCAATTGTCCGCTGCAGTATCGGACGTGTTCTGGGCCTGTCCAACGTGTACATAAAACTTCTTGTTACCGGTCGGGATGTTGATGGTCCTGTCGTCAACGGTGTGCAGGAGGCACAAGCCGCGGGCTGTGCAGTGCCAGGAGAGGGCAATTGTGTGACGGCCACATTTCAGAATCACTAGAAGCGTCACTGGCGGTTGCGCCAATCAAAGCAAAAGGGCCACCGTTGTACTGACACAGAACTCAAGTGCAGGGGCTGAAAGTTGCTGTGGTAAGAAAACAGTGCGCATCGCGAGACCAAAGCGTGCGGGGAGGGACAGTCAAAGTGCAGTGGCGGTGGGTCAGTAGTTATCACCAATATCTATGCAAAGTACTTGACAAGGAAGCAAGCGCGTGGCACAAAGTGGCCATTTAACGTAAGAACTACCGGTGCTGCCACTTTGCCGCAGGGGAGCCGTTCCCCCATCCAGCTCCACCGCCGCTGCTGTAACCAAAGGGCCCGGGGCTCCCACTGCCGCGCCACTGCTGGCCCACGGGGCTGCCCCACCGTCCCCGCCCGCCCCCCGGGCTGCCGCCGTGACCGCCGCCGTACCCGCGACCCCCAGGGCTGCCGCCCCACTGCGTGCCGGGCCCGCGGCCCCCCGGGCTGCCGAGGCCGGCGCTGCTGCCGAGGGGCAGCTCTGGCAAGGGGCCGTCCGTCCCGACCACCAGGCTTGGCTGTTGGCGGCCCTCAGCTTTTTCGGGCATTGGGTGGAGCGACTGCCAGGAACGGAAAGGGGGGAGAGGAGGAGACAACGGCACGATGGGTTGGTGCTGGCTGGTCTATCACACAACGCTGCAACAAACCACACAGCGCAAGCCAGGGGTGGGCTATTATTGCACGATCTTGCAGCAGGCTGTGGCCAGCCCAAACGCCAGCCACACACAGTGCCGACCCTGACCTGCAGGTCGCTCCGAAGTAGATGACTCTGCAGTCATCCGCCGCAGCTTGGCAAT